TCTACATTTATATACAATAGGTTCATTTGACAGCTACCCTCTCTCTTGTTGCTTAATTCATATTGCTAACTATAACACCATTTCTTTTGTATAAAGTATCAATTAGTGTTAGGTATATTTTCAGTATTAAATGTATTACTATAAGGCTGGGTGTGGTGTGGTGACTCATGCCTGTAATCCCAACACTTTGAGAGGCTGAGGAGGGTGGATTGCTTGAGCTCAGGAGTTCGAGACCAGGTTGGGCAATATGGTCAAAGACCATCTCTACGAAATATACAAAAGTTAGCCAGGTGTGCTGGCACACACACCTGTAGTCCCAGCTACTCAGGAGGCTAAGCTGAGAGGACTGCTCGAGTCTGGGAGGCAGAGGCTGCCATGAGCTGAGATTGCACCACTGCACTCCAGCCTGGGCAACAGAGCCAGGCCATTTGAAAAAAAACAAAAATGTATTATAAAATGGAATCTCAAGTATTTCTTTGATTAAAATTGTATTTATTCAAGGGTTGTTCCATTATACCCACAAGCCACTGAAATATTTCCAAAATTCCAGTAAATTAGCTTATAAGCTATATTTTCTCAACTATTTCTTTTTTTTTTTTTTTGAGACGGAGTTTCGCTCTTGTTACCCAGGCTGGAGTGCAATGGCGCGATCTCGGCTCACCGCAACCTCCGCCTCCTGGATTCAGGCAATTCTCCTGCCTCAGCCTCCTGAGTAGCTGGGGTTACAGGCACGCACCACCATGTCCAGCTAATTTTTTGTATTTTTAGTAGAGACGGGGTTTCACCGTGTTGACCAGGATGGTCTCGATCTCTTGACCTCGTGATCCACCCGCCTCGGCCTCCCAAAGTGCTGGGATTACAGGCTTGAGCCACCGCGCCCGGCCTCTCAACTATTTCTTAAACATAGATTCCATTTATTGGTTCGCATTTTTGGTTTAGACAAACAAGTCACCACAGAACAATCATTAAAAAAGCCAGCTTAGGATTTCAAGTCTATAGTAGAAAATACATAAAAATCCAAACACAAAAAAACTAAGAACTGTGGGTGTGCTGTGTATTTATTGTTTTTCATCTAAAACTGGCCCACATGCAGATGGGCACAGAGCTGCTGCCATTGATGGGGCAAAAGAAAGGGCACGGTATCACAGAACTGAAACCTGCAGACTGAAACCTGGAGTAGTAGCCGTTTATCTATATTTACACTTAACAGGCTTTTGACACACTTGGGGATAAAGAGTGTAAGTTTTACAGTCAAAAAGATGTGTGTTTGAACCTGGGCTTCACCGCTTCCAAGCAATCACATTCAGCAATCATTTCAGGCCTCTGAGCTTCAGTGTCCTCGCAGGCATGATTTTCCTATCTCACAGAGTCAGCATAAAGATTACTAACAACTTAGGTAAATCATCTAGTACATTGCCTGGCACAGAGCAAGCTATCAATGAATGGTAGTTAAAATAATCAGTATTATTATTATTATGAACCCTAGCTGGAAGTCAATGAGACAGGCACAGGCACATCAAGCCACTTTGGGGACCCCAAAAGCAAGTAAAAAGTACAAAGTAAATTTCTTTTTTCCATGCTTAAGAACAACCAGAATATATGACTTTGAGAATCATGACAACTCTCGAAACAAGTCCAGTACAGTGGTTGAGAATATACACTCTGGAAACTACTCCAAAAATTCCACTTTACCACTTAGCTGTGAGACTCTGAGCAAGTTGCTTAAAGGAGATATCCTTTCCTCAACCAAAACAGAGCCAATAACAGTCCTTCAAAGTACTCAGTAGGTATGGTGGCTCACACCTGTAATCCCAGCACTTTCAAAGGCCAAGATGGGAGGATCACTTGAGGCCAGGAGTTCAGGACCAGCCTGGACAACAGAGAAAGACCATATTTCTACAAAAAAAAATTGTTTTAAATTAGCCAGGTATGGAGGTGGATGCCTGTAGTCCCACCTACTTGGGAGGCTGAGGTAGGAAGATCACTTGAGCCTAGGAGTTTAAGGCTGCAGTGAGCTATGATCATGTCTCTGCACTCCAGCCTGGGCAACAGAGCAGGACTCTGTCTCAAAAAAAAAAATAAATAAAATAACAAGTACTTTGTGGGGATCTTGTGATGGATAAACGAAATAAGACAACCCATGGAATGCTCTTAGCACAGACTCTGTCAACAGTAAGTACTCCAAATGTCAACTATCAGACTGTCCACGAAACCCATGGCACCCCCAAGGAGTTACTGAAAGGAGTCTAAATAAAGCTGCAACACTAGTACGTACTTCAAACAGAGGTACTATTTTTCTGTAGTACAGAGTTCAAGGTGATTAATAAAATGCTAATTACATTAAGAGTTCTACTCATTATAGCTTTTAAAAACAAATAGTGATTGATGAAAAATGTTCAAACAATAGAGAACTATACAAAGTAAAAAGTGTGTTCATTCATCCACCCCTGCAACCCAAGCCTTAGGCTCCAAGTCCACTTTCCAGGGAAGCGACTGGAAAGTGCTACAGTAGGCACTCATCAGAAGCTATCTTTCAATACATACATAAAGTTGGGGAGGTGGGGCTGGATTTTTTTGCAAAATGGGATCATACTATATACATTATTTGTTTATTCAACAATATAGCACAGAAGTCTCCATATCAATGTATAAAATCCTAACTAGCCGGGCGCGGTGGCTCAAGCCTGTAATCCCAGCACTTTGGGATGCCGAGGCGGGTGGATCACGAGGTCAAGAGATCGAGACCATCCTGGTCAACATGGTGAAACCCCGTCTCTATTAAAAATACAAAAAATTAGCTGGGCATGGTGGCGCGTGCCTGTAATCCCAGCTACTCAGGAGGTTGAGGCAGGAGAATTGCCTGAACCCAGGAGGCGGAGGTTGCGGTGAGCCAAGATCGCTCCATTGCACTCCAGCCTGGGTAACATGAGTGAAACTCCGTCTCAAAAAAAAAATAAATAAATAAAATAAAATCCTAACTCATTCTTTTTAGTTGCTGTTCAATGCTTTGAACGATAGATAAATTGTAATTTACTAAACCATTATACTAGCATTTAGTTTACTTCTAATTTTTTGCTTTTGAAAATAATCCCAAAAGATTGAGCCAGGAGGTCGAGGATACAGCAAGCTGTGATCCCACTTGGGCAAAAGAGTGAGATCCTACCTCCAAAATAAATAAATAATCCCACAGTGGTCCAGGCACAGTGGCTTATATCTATAATCCCAACACTTAGGGAGGTCAAGGCAGAAGGCTCACTTAAGGCACGGAGTTCAAGACTAGCCTGGACAGCCCTATCTCCACAGAAAATTTAAAAATTAGCCAGGCATAGTGGTGCACGCCTGTAGTCCCAGCTACTTGGGAGGCTAAGTTGGGAGGACTGTTTAAGCCTAGGAGTTTAAGGTTACAGTGAGCTATTGTGCCACAGCATTCCAGCCTGGGCAACAAGGAAAGGTCCTCTCTCTAAAAATAATCATCATCGTCATCAACATCATTCTACAATGAACACCTTGTTTGAAGGGCATTCAACACATGTGTGGCTATTTCTGTTGAACAGCTTCCTAAAAGCTGATCTGCTAAATCAAAGGTTTTGCGCATTTTATATGTTGATAAGAAATGCCAAATTATCCTCCAAAAAGGATGTATCCATTGTACTCTCTGTAAGTAACCATCTTCATAAAAAACAGAAACAAAATAGTATCATATTGTGTAGAAAAACTGAAATTTTTCCACATTAAGAAGTGACCCTCTGGCCAAGTGCGTGGCTCACACTTGTGATCCCAGCACTTCGGGAGGCTGAGGTTGGCTGATCACTAGAGGTCAGGAGTCCAAGACTAGCCTGGCCAATGTGGTGAAACCCTGTCTCTAGTAAAAATACAAAAGTTAGCTGGGTGTGGTGGCGCACACCTGTAATCTCAGCTACTCAGGAGGCTGAGGCACAAGAATCGCTTGAAACCAGGAGGCAGAGGTTGTAATGAGCTGAGATCCTATCACTGCACTCCAGCCTGGGCAACAGAAAAAATTAAAAAAAGGCCAGGCGCAATGGCTCACACCTGTAATCCCAGCACTTTAGGAGGCTGAGGCAGGTGGATCACAAGGTCAGGAGCTCAAGACCAGCCTGGCTAAGATGGTGAAACCCCGTCTCTACAAAAAATACAAAAATTATCCAGGCGTGGTAGTGAGTGTCTTTAATCCCAGCTATTTAGGAGGCTGAGGCAGAGAACTGCTTGAACCCAGGAGGCAGCGGTTGCAGTGAGCAGAGATTGCGTCACTGCACTCCAGCCTGGGCTACAGAGTGAGACTCCACCTCAAAAAAAAAAAAGCCCTCATCTTAAAAAAAAACAACAACAAAACTACAGTTCTAAATCCTTACTTTGTCCCTCTCAGCATTTGAGCTTTTATGCTACTGACTATCTCATCCTAGCACGACTCATTACATGACATCCTCTGCAATGACCTCGTTCATGTCACAACCAGTTTTCCAGTCCCCAAGCCACCCTGGCCCTGTCCCCTGGCCAACTGTGGGGAAAAAGGAAGGACTAAAGACTTGAAGTGTTCCTGCCATCATCTAGCATCCCTGCCAAGCCCCACTAAAACAGAATTATTCCGTGTAATGATCATGGTAAAAGCTCTACTTTGTTGCTATGTTTTAAGGCAGCAATGGGTTAAAATCTCTTAATCAATAATCATTGGCCTACAGGTAGTTTACACATTTCATTTTGTCCTGCAATATTATTACAATTAGGAGCAAGAGCAGATAAAGGTCATGTTGGTAATTAAAGCTATATTGTAGAAATATGCTCACCCAAGATATGATTAAATAAGAAAATATTACTCACTTCAGTATCATCATTAAACTTGTATTAATTTATAAATATTTAAATGTACCATATGATGGTCATAAATAATGTTTTTGTCAGTTTCTAAAGTAATGCAACCCATAAACCCTTTAAAAAATTACTGCAGAAAGGAACAGTCAAGAAAGTATACAAGCCAGACTTACATTCAAACGCTGTAGTTGTGGCTTCAGGCAGAACCTGGCCTATCACATCCTAAACAAAGAAAGAATAAAGAAACACAATTAGCCATCTTCTTTATTGCTAACATGTGGCAAATATTAGAGGAAATATGAGAACCTGGGAAAGATTTTTGAAACGTTAGCATAAACTATAAAAACATTAGCTCATAATCACACTTAGCCCAGCAACATAAACTCAAGAGTTTAAATCTCTATTCCAGAAAGAAAAATCTTTAAGAACCCTTTTCTACATTTTAATTAATAACATTCTATTGTCAATTCAATGGTGTATATACAAATACACTGTTGTGTATTTACAAAAACTTGGTTTCTTCTATGTTAGGCTGTGGAATATACTACAGTTGAAAGAGAAAGGGGTTTTGAGATTCAGACTGACCTAGGTCTCAATCTCAGCTCTGCACTTACTATTAGATGTATGACTTGGAAAAAAAAATCACCTAGCCTCTCTGAGCCTCTATTTGATCACCCTCCAAAATGGGTCTAGCAATACTCACAGAGGTCGTGTAAAAATTAATCTAATGAACATAAGCTTAGACCTAGCACACTGAAGACATTCAACAAATGTTCCTGATACACAACAATCAACACTGCACCTCTAACTCATAATGTTTGGAGTTCAACACACAAGTTTCCGTGATGATATAAACCATTATGCTACATTGATCACAAACAGTTCTTATCAACCTTTACTATTAAGCAACAGAAAACATATTTAATGACACTGAAATAAAGTTAATCTAGCCTACAAAAAAATCTAAAAAGTGTATATAATCTGACATCAATGTTTAAGTAAATCTATAAAGCTGAAAATATGCAAAAATTACTATACTGAGACAGCTTCATTGAATAAGCACAGAACACCTAAGCTCTGGGGAAAGTGACCCTCCATCATGTCCAGTCCAACTCCAATGGCCTGCAAACCTCATTTCTCTCCGGGAGCTCTGCCACAATGTCCTCCCAGGCTGCACCAGAACTGGCACCAGGCAGCCGGCTGACAAAGCCGCTTGCAGTATTTCTCAGCAGGGATCCCACAGCCTTTCCAAGCAGGGCATTTAGCAGAGTGGCGGCTGCAACTTCCTTCTAAAGGCAATTCTTTAGAAGCTTTTGCTGCAGTGGCAATTTGCATAATAGTCTTCCCTCTATAGTGCTTTTCTTTTTTTTTTTTCCAAAAATAAATCTGTGCATATAAAACTGATCAAAGAGAACTATCTTAGGCAGGCCTTGCTCATTACAGCCAGAGATTATTTTTTTCTGACTCTAGTCTTCACAAATGAAACATCAACTTTTTAAGGAAGTATCTACAAAAGATTTTAGTGTTAAAAAATTATTTCTACACTCTCATAGTTAGAAAGTATTTATTGACAGGAAACTGTAAAGGGAGTACAGAATAAAGCACACTGGCAATCCAGTGTAAAGCCTAAAAGCGTGAAATTGGAGCCAAACTGCTGTGCCTGGATGCTAGCTCTCTCTCACAGCTGAGGGCACAAAAAATCTCTCTGTGCCTCAGTTTCCTTATATGTAGTACCAGATCTTAGCTGTACCTACCCAATGAGTGTAAAGTGCTCAGAAGAGTGTCTAGCACATGGCAAGTGCCATGTTAGTGTATGTTAAACAAATAAAACAAATCACTGATCACTAGAATATTACAAAGCTTACCTCATAATAAAACTTTGAAACTCAGCACCCAACAATCAGTGGAGGACGGTGATTCACTCACTGATATCACCCTTCAGCAGTATTCATTGAACACCCATTCAGTGTAGGTTTAAAAAAAATGAGGTAAAAACAACTCCTCCATCCCCAACCCTCTAAATCTAGTTTATCACGGGTTACTTTCAGGAAACTCTGATCTTGACATGTGAACTCTACCTCAATAGTGTTAGCAAACTAATTTAGGATCCTTCCTACTTCTGAATAGCAGATCCCATCAAACTGCAGAGTTCTAACAACCACCTGAAAACCCGCTCAGTGGCAATGGCATGCCTTAGCCCACCAACATAAACAAGGCGCTGCACATGCTTCTCATATGATATGCGGAAAGGGGAGAAAGAACTAAGCAAACTTGCTAAGAGAACCATGTGAACACAACCAATTTTGTTATTTAAAGCAAATAGGCTGGGCACGGTGGCTCACACCTGTGATCCCAATACTTTGGGAGGCCGAGGCAGGTGGATTACCTAAGGTCGGGAGTTCAAGACCAGCCTGACCAAAATGGAAAAACCCATCTCTATTAAAAATACAAGATTAGCTGGGTGTGGTAGTGCATGCCTGTAATCCCAGCTATTTGGGAGGCTGACGCAGGGCAGGAAAATCGCTTGAACCTGGGAGGCAGAGGTTGCAGTGAGCTCAAATCATGCCATTGCACTCTAGCCTGGGCAACAAGAACAAAACTGCATCTCAAAAAAAAAAAAAAAAAGCAAATAAAGTGGAGCTATCATAATGACAAAGAGGCAGGAAGTTTAAAAATCAGTAATATCTGCTAGTAATTTTAAAGCAGGGTACATTTGCTGATTTTATATACATTTTCTGTTTTTTGTTTTTAAGATGGAGTCTCGCTCTGTTGTCGAGGCTGGAGTGCAATGGCACTCTGCTCACTGCAATCTCCGCCTCCCAGGTTCAAGCAATTCTCCTGCCTCAGCCTCCCAGGTAGCTAGGATTACAGGTGCGTGCCACCACACCTGGCTAATTTTTGTATTTTTAGTAGAGACAGAGTTTCACCATGTTGGTCAGGCTGGTCTTGGACCCCTGACCTCGTGATCCGCCCGTCTCAGCCTCCCAAAGTGCTAGGATTACAGGCATGAGCCACTGGGCCCGGCTTACATTTTCCAGTTAAAGTGACTTATTTCCAAGCAGCCTTCTTCTACTCTCAATAATATAACATTTACCTAACCTAAAGAAGGTTTCAAAAGAAAACTGGGACAGGCACAGTGGCCCATGCCTGTAATCCCAGCATTCTGGGAGGCCAAAGTGGGCGGATCACTCAAGGTCAGTAGCTCGAGACCAGCCTGGCCAACATGGTGAAACCCTGTCTCCACTAAAAATACAAAAAAATCAGCTGGGTGTGTGGCATGTACCTGTAATCTCAGCTGCTCAGGAGGCTGAAGCAGGATAATCACCTGAACCTGGGAAGCAGGGGTTGCAGTGAGCTGAAATTGCACCACTGTACTCCAGCCTGGCCAACAGAGTGAGACTCTGAGAAAAAAAGAGAGAAAGAAAGAGAGAGAGAGAGGAAGGAAGGAAGGGAGCCGAAGTTTACATATCTTGATGATGACCATTTTTTGATCCTTTTCTTCTTCCTTTCAATAAATCAGACAAATATCTGACAGATCAAAAACATAACTGAGCATCTACAACATGCCAGGAGTAAAAAGATCACAGAGTTGTAGGCTACAGGAGAATAAATCTTGATCCTTGACTTTAGGAAGATTATAAACAGGTTAGGGAGCTAAGACAAACCTGAAAGACTAGTAATAGAAAACACTTTTAAGAACCAAAGACATAAATAGCAAATAGTATTTGGTAACTCAGGAGAAAGGAAAAATCACAGACTCAGTTTAGACAGAAATCTGTGTGTGTGTGTGTTTTCTTCTTTTTTTTTTGAGACAGGGTCTCGCTCTGTCACCTAAGCTGGAGTGCAGTGGTGCAATCACAGCTCACCATAGCCTCAGCCTCTGGGTTCAAGAGATCTTCCCACCTCAGCCTCCCTAATAGCTGAGACTACAGGTATGTGCCACCATGCCCCACTAATTTTTGCATTTTTTGTAGAGATGGGGTTTCGCCATGTTGCCCAAGCTGGTCTCGAACTCCTGGGTTCAAGTGAACCTACCTACCTCGGCCTCCTAAACGGTGGCATTACAGGCCTAAGCCACCACTCCTAGCTCAGAAATGTTATAGATGAGGGGAAATCTGAGCTTGGAGACCACAGGATACAAAAAGAAGAGAGGAGAGGGTTGATCATTCTCTCTCATCACACATAACTGAACGTCTTGTACAGTTTTCCCAAAACTAGGAACTCAGTCTCCAGGGAAAAAGAGAAACACAGAAAGCTGCAAAACAGCTGACCCAAATGTCTCTACCTTTGAAGATCAGGTAGGCCTCCATACTTAAGCCAGTCCCATGTGATTCAGACAAAAGGCAAGGCCCAGAGAGACCAAGTGACTTGCCCAGGGTCTGCCAGGTATTTGATGCACAGTGACGAGAGCCCTCAACTGCTGATTTCAGGTCTGAGACCCTCAGTTACAGCTGACTCCGTGACTACAACACACTTCCGGCATCTGTCAGGTTCTGCCAAAAACTAGCTGTATAGCTTTAGCAAGGTATTTTTCCCAGTGGGGTTCATGCCTCTTCATTTGAAATGAGTCAGAATTAGATGAAGTGGAATGCTTCCAGGTTCCACGAGGCTTTAAAGCTGAAGGTGTCAAGCCAGAGATGCTGATGTGTCTGTTGGTTCCTGCCTTTTCTTGATGAAGTGAACCTGGAGAACAGATCACAGCAGTCTGCCAGGACCTGGGCTTGAACATTTGCTAAAACGGAGCACTAGGAGACAGCACCACACCCACTGCCACAAGTCCTTCATCAGACTTTACTGACAAAACATGCCCCACCTGGGCTTACCTGGGCAAAAGTGTGCAGACACCTGGCACACTGAGCTCTAGTAGTGGGGCCACTTAGCCTCGAGCCAGGTACAACTTAGAGACAGATGCTCAAGAAATGGAAGACCCAAGTCCTATCCCTTATGGTAACAATCCCATCAATAATAACAACACTAACAGAGGCTTACCATGTGCTAAATTGTTCTGAGTGCTTTACATGTATCAGCTCAAGGAGCCCCCAGAACTTTCGGAGGTAGGCATTACTTTCACCCCTCCCCAACTTTTGTTTCACAAATAAAGAAACTAAGACACCGAAGATACTTGGCCCCTGAGCAGTACAACTTGCAATTTAAACAACTTGGCTCCAGAGTTTGTGGTCTTAAACACTGGGCTATTCTTGAAATAATCACATAATCAAATAATATGGTCACACAATAATCCACCTTCTGTTGTTTTAAATGAGTAAGAGAAAGTCCATCTTTCTCATCACAGTCACGATCTCACCTAATCTTTCCAAGTCTCTGATGAAGGTAAGGATTTCCCTGTTTTACAAATAAGGAAACTAAGGCTCAGAGAGGTAGACTGACTTGCCTCGTTAGTGGGACAGCTTGCAATTAAACCCAACTCCTTGACTCTAAACCTAGTCCACAGAAACATAACTCCATGCATCCTCTTTTAAGCTCCCTTATTAAACACGTATTTTGGGGTCCTATGAAGAAACACAAACAAATATATCCATCTCCTCTAGAAGTTTACCATCTAGTGGAGGAGACAAAGAATCATGATCAAGCATGTGCTTTGCCGGGGGACCCACACAAAGCTGTGACAACACAGAGGTGGGGCACATAACCAAGAATGACACAGAGAAAAGGCAAAACTTGGCTTGGAAGGACAGATGGGAATTGGCGGGTGAAGGGCAGAGTGTAGGCAGCCTGGACACTTGGAAGAACTGAAAGTCAACGTGAGGCACAAAAGGTTATGGGGCTGTGATGAGAGAGATGAAGCTGGTACCAGGCAGACAGGGGCCAATCCAGATGTGCCCAGAGGACCACGTGAAGGAGCCTGGGCCTTCTCACGAGGGGAAATCTGTGTGCACATGAGTGTACAGAGAACTCTGGATACTAAGAGAAGGATAGCATTTGATGCACAAATATGGGAAGCTCCTGGATGAAGCACCCAAAAAACCTGCAAGGCCTGGGCAGTCAGTAACAACAGAACTCAAAATGAAGTTATAGAAATCATATTGTGGGCCGGGTTCAGTGGCTCATGCCTATAATCCCAGCACTTTGGGAGGCCGAGGCGGGTGGATCACGAGGTCAAGAGATCGAGACCATCCTGGTCAACATGTGAAACCCCGTCTCTACTGAAAATACAAAAAATTAGCTGGGCATGGTGGCGCGTGCCTGTAATCCCAGCCACTCAGGAGGCTGAGGCAGGAGAATTGCCTGAACCCAGGAGACGGAGGTTGCGGTGAGCCGAGATCGCACCATTGCACTCCAGCCTGGGTAACAGGGGTAAAACTCCGTCTCCAAAAAAAAAAAAAAGAAATCATATTGTGAACCGGGTTCGGTGGCTCATGCCTATAATCCCAGCACTCTGGGAGGACAAGGCAGGTGGATCACAGGGTCAGGCGTTCGAGACCAGCCTGATCAACATAGTGAAATGAAACCCCGTCTCTACTAAAAATACAAAAAATTAGTCAGGCATGATGGCGGGTGCCTGTAATCCCAGCTACTTGGCAAGCTGAGGCAGAAGAATCGCTTGAACCTGGGAGGCGGAGGTTGCAGTGAGCCAAGATCACACCACTGCACTCCAGCCTGGGCGACAGTGCAAGACTCCATTTCAATTTAAAAAAAAAAAAAAAAAAATCAAATTTTTGATTGAGTTACCCAAGACAATGAAAAAAATCACATCACAAATCTTCCTCTTCCCAAGATCCTGCCACTTTGCCCCCTCTTAAATTGCAGGTAAGTTCCACTACAGATCAGCTGCTAGCAATGTGCTTTTTGGGATGTCCCCTTCTGTCTTCCATGCCTCAGTTATTCAGTTCGTACAATGGGCACAAGGCACCCTGTCTATCTCAAATGAACACCAGTAAAATTAGAAGTCGCTGCAACATGCAGGGGAAAAAACCTACTAAGTCAAAGAAACAAAATTTTAGTCCTGGTACTGACTCTCCCATTCAGGAGCTCATAGCTTTGGAAAAGCCGCTTGACCTCACTGCTGGTCAGTAACTATCTGCAAAAGGAAACATGAGGGGCTGGGTGCGGTGGCTCAAGCCTGTAATCCCAGCACTTCGGGAGGCCGAGGCGGGTGGATCACGAGGTCAAGAGATCGAGACCATCCTGGTCAACACGGTGAAACCCCGTCTCTACTAAAAAATACAAAAATTAGCTGGGCATGGTGACGCGTGCCCGTAATCCCAGCTACTCAGGAGGCTGAGGCAGGAGAATTGCCTGAACCCAGGAGGCGGAGGTTGCGGTGAGCCGAGATCGCGCCATTGCACTCCAGCCTGGGTAACAAGAGCGAAACTGCGTCCCAGAAAAAAAAAAAAAAAAAGGAAACATGAGCTGAACAGGCCACCTACAATGTTAAATTCTGCGCTAAAATTCCATCATTTTATTTGAAACATATTCTGAATAACCTGAAGGTAAAACATCACCAATTCTAAGATGCACATTTTCCCTCCATTTTAACATCTCTCAAACTGAACTGATTTTAATAACAAATGTTATATTGTCACGGGCAGCATTTTTTTCTATGTAAAATGTCTTACACTCAATGATGCTTTAAGTTTGCTCAGGCTGGGCACAGTAACTCACACCTGTAATCTCAGTACTTTGGGAAGTCTGAGGCGGGCAGGTTGCTCGAGCTCAGGAGTTCAAGACCAGTCTGGGCAACATGGCAACACTTCATCTCTACAAAAAGATACAAATATCATCCAGATGTGGCGGCATGTCCCAGCTACTTGGGAGGCTGAGGTGAGAGGATCACTTGAGCCCAGGAGGTAGAGGCTGCATTGAGCCAAGACGGTGTCACAGCACTCCAGCCTAGAGTGAGGACCTGCCTCAAAATAAATTAAAAAGTGTGCTCAAACATGGTAAGTTAAAGTTGTCCTTTTTCCTTTTCTCAGCTGGTCACTAAGTTCAGAGAACTCAGTAGAAAAACAGGGCTGGAATCTGTCCAGGGGCATTCCCCAAAACACTTAGGGGAATAAAACCTCTCTTCTAGACTCAGCTGTTTACATCTGCGTGGTTGTGTCTGTATGTCCCAGCCCGGGCCATGCGCTCTCTGAGGGCAGGGGCTCAGTCAGATTGATCTATCTCCCCGGGGTCCTAGACATTTGCCAGGTTTCAGGGGTTGCAATGTATCAATGCTGTGCCTGAAGCAATCAAACCGCCTCCACAGGAGGCCGGCAGTGGCACTGCCACTAGCTCCGGTCACCAGTGGTCAAGGTGCTGACTCCTCAAGTCCCTGAGTCCCCCTTGCTGGGAACTGGACACTGAGATGACCACTCACCAGCACATCCCTGAAGAGTAGCTGCGGCCCGGAGTGCACTGTCCAGTCCACCGCGCCAGTATTTGGGATCTTGATGCGAATTACCAGCACCTGGTTCTCCATGGCAGGAAAGGGGCCAAGGGCTAGCCACAGCATCACAGGTTCAAGGGGCTCACATCATGGGGGCGGGGGTACCCGCTGGCCGCTGGTCAGGAGGGGGCTCCAAGAGGTGACAAGGGGAGTGAGGAGCAGAGGGTGAAAACAAGGGACTGGGGGCTGAGGAGGGGGGAAGGAAGGGGTGATTCGGGGTGATTCGGCAGGGACCCAGGGCACCGCGCCTGCCCAGGCTGTCCGGGTCTGCGGCGCCTCCCGGGGGCTGCACCGGGGAGCGGGAGAGGCCCGCAGGAACCGGCAGAGGTCGGAAGGTTCTGGAGCTGGGCGAACGCGGCGGTGAAGCTCCCCGCCGCCGTGTGGCTGTGGGGGGCGGCAGGGCAGGGACGCGGTTTGGGGGAGACACAGCGGCAGGCGTCCCCCGCCCGTCAGTAAGAGGGTCCTCGACTGGAGGGGACTCAGTCCCGGGCTACTAAGAAGGCGCCCCAGGGCCGCCGCACCACGGAGAGTCCCCGCGGGACGGTCAAGGGCGAGTCTTCCGCCCCACCCGGGGACACAGGGCGCGGCGCGCGCCGGCTGGGCCCCGGCCTCCCAAGGCCGCGCGGACCGGAGGCGGCGGCGGCGGCGGCGGCGGCAGCGGCGAGAGGAGGAGGAGGAAGGCGGCGGCGACACTGTTACTCCGGAACCAAAACGCGCAGCGCCGGAACCCCGGGAGCCGACGAGCGGGACCCGCCTCCCGCGGCGCCATGTTGGAAAAGGGCAGCAGCCCCCGCGCGCACGCGCCTCCGGAGGGCGGGAGCGGGGGAACTGGCGCGCGGCGCGGGGCGGGACCCTCTTCGCCCGCAGAGCGCCCGCGGCGGCCTTTCGCCTCCCGACCCCGCTTCCTGACGGCGAGGTGGAAACATCTGCCAGACGAAGCGCGCACGCGATCTGGGGCTGCGGTCCGCCAGCAGCCGACTTGGGGCTCAGCAAACTTGCCGACCGTTTGTCTTTACAACAGCTTCAGAGACCGGGGCTGCGGCTCCGGGCTGTCCCCACTTCGTCAGGTCATTCATCTGCGTCTTCGTGGGGTTGCGTGCACCGAATCAGCACGTGCAAGGCAAAAACCCAAGAAAGAGTGGTCTTTTTTATTCCTCCTTCCAAGTCACAGGTCCAGAGGACCATCCTCTCCCTCCCACGTTAGCAGAAAGTATGTGCCTTTTTCAGTGAGGTTCTTTACCCCACGAGTGCCCTAAAATAGCAACAGTTCCCTGTTCCAAAGCAATAGGAAAGAAATTTGCTCAAGAGTTGTTTTTTTTTTTTTTTTTTTTTTTTTTTTTTTTTTTTTTTT